TCTCCCATTTTTTTTTCCTCTGTTTTTCTTTTTGCTGCCGCGATCCCTTATTCAGTTTCCTACTCCTAGGAGCTGAAAAAGGTGAGTTACTTTTGCTGCCACTAGGGTTTTTAAGTTTATTTATGCTTATAAGTGAATGAATTTCTTCTTCCCATTGTCTGTTATACGCACCAAGACCCACACGCACGCAGTGAAACACACTGTTTAGCTCGTCCGGGCGCCCCCCTCTTCATTTTTCTGGTTCATTCTCGTCCAGCCCCCTTTTTAACGGTATTTCGGAGCCTTTTTCACTTTGGAAACACCGATGCACGCAGTTTCTTCACCTCAGTCGCACTAGTTTCGGTCTTGTCTTCCATTTTTCATCATAAGCTGGATTACCCGAAATTATCGTGTACTATGCCTTTAAGCGTGAAAGCGAAGAAAGAGCGAGCATCGACCATTAGTGCGTAAAATCATTAACTATTATAAAGTAGACGAGAAGCAAAACTTCCCTGAAGCACAATGCATTTTATCACTGTTGCCTGCTCAAGCTGGCTGGAAACGCGTGGAAAGCTGTCTGACTCCTTCTCAAGGCTTTACTCGGCCCTCTGAAATAGTTATATTTCAGAGGACCGAGTAAAGCCTTGAGAAGGAGTCAGACATATGCTTCCTATAGCATTCAGCTATTTACAGCATCAGCGCTTGAAATAGGTGCGTGCTTCTTCCACTAATGCTTTTTAGCAGCATTTCAGGCAGCTATCAATCATTGGTGGACCCTTTCAATCCTGGGTTCGGTTCAATTGAGGTTTGAGGTCGGAGAAGTGGAGAAGAATAGGGTCCACGAGCTTGGGACCAGTTTTATTGCCACCCACCCATCTGCTGCCTTAATTTGGCTTTATGCGAGCTCGAAACATTTATGATCTGGCCGTCAGTACAACAGACCTGAAATTTCATCAAAGATGGCATCTGGCTTCTATTATTTAGGGGATCCCGACGTATATAACCCTTTGAGCGGATCGATTTGAGTTTTCGAGAGTGTTGGTGTGTGCGTGCGTGCGTGCATGAGTTCGGCCCGGTATGCTTACCTTCTTCGTCTTCGAGGCGATGCTTTGAGAATTAGAAAGTATGGGGAGAGACGTCGGACGTTGATGATCGAAAATGTTAACAGTTGGTAAGCCCCGGTGAGAGGCATGTTACTTAATTCTCATTATTGTTTGCCTCAGGCACACAGATGGCCAAGATAAACTTCGATAGACTCGATAGAAAGTATGATCAAGTCTTGCTACGCTTTTCGTTTTGAGAAGAACGAACTCTTATATTCGATAATTTCGAGGAATATTATAGGCCTTATCACGAATTCTCATTGAAATGAGTGGTCAGCACTGAAAACGGCTGATGAGAAGCTTTTGAATTTGATATCATCAAATTTGCTACACCCATGGTACAGGAATGCTAGCGTACGGTAAAGTTTTTGTGGTGTATTTCTGGTGGAGGGCTGATGTAGTGGAGTGGCAAGTGACGTGCTATCATCAGGTTCAATATCTGCCTAGGCCAACAAGGTGTTACATTCCTTAGGGATCAGAACCAGATCCGCAAGGGAGGATATGAGCGCCACCCTGTGCATCGGCTTGCCACCGCAAGCCACTGTGTAGGCCACCTTTAAGTCGAATGCGGGTTCGATAAGAGGCAATACTATTTAACGATAATAACAGATTTACTACTTTTTTACATATCTACCCAAATCTACGACGATCACTAAGTATGAGGCTGAACCGTATACTATATGAGCTCTTATTGATACCATAATATTAGTTTGTCAACGAATATACCAGTTCCGTTTGTGATCCTCCACACGTAGAAAAAAGCTCAGAATTACATCGGACTTAGAAAAATAACCAGCCAAAATGGTTCTACAAAGTGATGTTTACAATTCATTTGTTCATGCCTTCTCTAGCACTGCTTGTGTCATCATCCGTCATCCGGTGATCCTCTGTTTTCGTTTACTCCAAGCCAAGTATAAGCTCCTGGGAGACTCGTATAACGCTTGACGTGAATTTTTTTAGTTGCTGTTTGTAGTTTTGCTTTTACTCCTCACTTTCAGTTCATCAATCGCGAATACCCTCGCAAATTATGGACACCTGCGCCTTACGAAAAACCTATGATTTTCACAGAGTGGTGAAGAAAAATGGCGAAAGCCTCGCTTGTTCAAAAAATTGTTTTCTGCAGGAGACGGGTTTGATTGAAAATTTCTAGAAACGCTCTCCAAACAGAACCTTACACCTTCAAATACTCTTAACAGACTTCAAATTCACTGGAAATGTCATCTATTGCCTTCTACTGTAGAGAATCTATTCTAGGTTTAGAGGTCTCCATTTCCACCTTACTACCCAAAGAGGCGGAAGCCCAGTTCAAATAACCTCGGCTGGAACGCAAAACGTACTAAACGACCCTCGCCAGTTGCCTAGGCCATTTTGCCGAATTATTTCAGCCGCAGTCGATGCTCCTCATTGGACATTTCAGAATCATAGTGGCGTAATGTGGCCCATACAATGACTTGCAGTGGTCAGCCGATGTTCAAGTCAATGCTTTTGTCTTCCTAGACGAGTTGATCCCTAATGTTCCTCGGAACGACCGATACAAAACTTCAAAAGCTCATTCTCCGTCTTGATTTTCAGAAGCAGTCATGCGCCTTCGAAACCAGTACCGTACACGGAGAATTTTGGCGAAAATAAATAAAATCGTTGGTGTGTGTATGTTTTCATGGCTAGAATAACTGATACGGAAACCGAAGAGAGTATGAGCTTATTCGAGGTAGCAGTAAATTCACTCATACATATTTCCAAACATAGCCGTGTGCGCAGTCCACAGGTCAGCTTCCAGTTCGTTGGGTTTTTCGCATGGTTTGGCAAGCAGCCGCCGAACTGTTGCCCAAGCTTCAACGCTTTGCAGCACTCGTTTCAAAGAACCAATTTCCTCCGGATATCCCTTCGAGAAGGAAAAAGCTGCAGTTGTTATATCGCAAACGTTGTTGCTTTCATACCCCTTCTCTTCTTCTGGCTCTACTCTCTTCTTTCCTTTCGGAAATGGGGGCAGATACATATGGTTGCTTTGTTGACCAATCGTCATAGCGGCCCTGACAAGGGAAGTGCTGCAGATGGCGGACAAGAGCAAGCTTCCCGGCGTCTTTGTCTTTTTTTAAACACTGATCGGTCCTGTCTTCGAGAGGGACAACTCAAATACGCATAAGTTGCCCCCACAGTGAAACCGTTCCCTTTGTGATACCTATTCAATGTATCGTTCCTTTTCTTCTATAGTGTGTCAATTAATCACTCATAGTGAGTTTTCAGCGGTCCCCACACCGTCATTGCTCAACTACGGAGCATCAGGATTCAATCCAGTAGCCGTTTCTCCGCTTGTACGGTGCGATCAGCTCTGTTTAGCGGCCTAATCTCGACACTTTCATGTCATTGTCATTCTTTGTACAAATATTGTACCCTTTTGAGCTGAGGCAGTGTATTGGCAGGTGGCGCACTAACACACGCGCACGGTCCGTAGTTCAAATCCCGGCGCGCCTATCGCCTAGGCCAATTGAGTCTATATCCCTCCAGGGTTGGTTAATCGGTATCAGGCTCATTTGGGAGGATGAAAGCACTGCTTTGCCCATGAGTTGACCACCTCAATCTACTATTGTGTTGGCTATTTACGCTTTCAAAACTCCCCTACGATGTCAATGGGTTTCAAATGCAGGGGTGCTTCCCGAAAACGAGAACTAGCAATGCCAAGGATTTTGCCCTTTACCCTTTCGATTCTTGAGAATTCAAGCAGTCCAAGTGAAACACTTCATGTGCATTAGTAAGGACATTCGATGTAGACGAATTATGAGGTTGTAGGGATTCTTTCTGCTAAGCTACCAAGCTCGACTTTTCCTGTTCAGTGCAAGAACCGGTGCATCTCCTGGTAAATGGCAAAAATTCAAAAGACTACGCAATTTCTTTTTCCACCTTTTTTTAATAGAACGTTGGATAGTCAATGCCAAGCTGGGTTTTCTTACGAAATAAATTTTCGGCCCTAACGACCTACAGCTGCTCTGATGATTTTTTCAGTGACTTTAAATGCATATTTTGGTCCATCATAAGAACAATACGATAGTTTTGTAGTTAAAAACCAGAGAAAATTATTTTTTAATCTGCCAGGACCAGCCATAGTATACCGAGAGTAACACTTAACCAAGAACGATTTCTCCTGAATAAACTACAATCCCTTTTTTACCAATCGTGTGGCAAAATGCCTCGTCTGAGCCTTTTTTGTCGTTGGCCTTGTTAGTCGGAGACATATGTGGCTTGTATAGTAAACAATAATTAATAATGGGAATTCCCGAGGAAAACTGCCTGCAGGGGCAATAGAAAACGTCGTCGTACAAACAATACCCATGGGAAGTGAATATAGAAGATTATTGAACGTAAGTAGTATTTTCCGCAGGTAGGCGGGATGATGGGGGAGCCCAACTAGTGACAGGACAGTTAATCAAGGTATATAGCCATTTATGAAGAGGAGGCTGGATAAATAACTATGGATTCTATCTGGGACAGGATAATTCTGAAGTTCCTAGCTTAAGTGAAAGTGGTGAGTCGGCGTCCTAACGCCTCGTAAAGTGTGCAGCCTCTATAAGGCCGTCATATAAGGTTACTTCTGGGTGTTCATAACGGTGAAGCCGGTGTTGAATGCCCAATAACCCTTGTCGAAGTTGTTTTCGATCCAACAATGTCCCTCGTGCTATCCTCAGGGGCAATAGGTTCATCTTAGTGTGAAATCTAGGAAACCATTCTTGTCGTCTGCTTCCAAGGCCTGCCAAGCCCTGTGAGCAGATCAGGATCTCACACACTTGTGCCAGGTTCCTAGGTGGTATAGTGGCAAGTGGCGCACTATCTCACACGCACGGTCAGGGGTTCGAGTCCCGGATCGATGCTCGCTCAGGCTAACCAAGCCTTCCATCCCCACGGGTCGCTTAGTTGGTTCCAGACTCGTCTGGGAGGATAAAAGCCTTGACTTGTACATCGGCTGGCCACCGCAATTCATTGTATAGGCCGCATACGCTCTCACTACGCCACTACGATTCTGAATGGAAGTCGATTGCGAGGCGCATCCCTCAAACCTTTACATAGATTATCTATTAGGTCATGCGATAAAATTTGCAGAGGTCTGCCATTTTAAAAAAAATCCTTAGAAAACTAGCCAATATTGGGTTTCCTCCCAATACCAGAGCGATGGGATTTTCAAGCGAATGGTGAGCCCCTTTCTTCAAAGGCTAGGCCTCGACTTTTGCTAAAGTATTTCTTTCCAAACTAGTACATAAGAACTCAAGAAGATGATAAATGATGTTGTAGTGGGCAGTCAGTCAATTCCCTTGAATAGCATCCCACCAGCCCATCGGGGATAGTTTTTTAACAGTTACTGGAAACGCTGCCAGTTTGCGAAGTTCCTCACACGCAAGTCAGATAATGCTAAGCTGAGGAGGAGTTCGAGGAAGGCACGCCTTTCATGCTTTATTTATTTGTCTATTCAGTTGATAGTTCATTTGTTTACTGCCTTGCAAGAATGAGTCTTCAAAACATAATAATAAGAATAGGGCACAAACACGAAAAAAAGCTCTTATGAAGCTAACCAGTACCATTCATTGCGTAGAGAGTCACTCCGAATTCCCAAGGAATCAATGCAGAACGGTTACTGGTAAGGTGT